CCTCAGAAATTGTTTTAGTGTTGGGCTGATAGAGAAGCCAGGGCCATGCTTTCTGGGGTTCCTCCAGTTTGTGAGTACTTTTATCATCTTTTTTTTTTTTTTTAATTGTACTTTAGATGAAGATTTACAGAACAAACTAGCTTCTTATTAAACAATTAGTACACATATTGTTTTATGACATTGGTTAACAACCCCACGACATGTCAACACTCTCCCTTCTCGACCTTGGGTTCCCTATTACCAGCTTTCCTGTCCCCTCCTTCTGCCCTGTAGTCCTTGCCCCTGGGCTGGTGTGTCCCTTTAGTCTTGTTTTGTCTTATGGGCCTGTCTAATCTTTGGCTGAAGGGTGAACCTTAGGAGTGACTTCATTACTGAGCTGTAAGGGTGTCCGGGGGCCATACTCTGGGGGTTTTTCCAGTCTCTGTCAGGCCAGTAAGTCTGTTCTTTTTTCGTGGGTTGGAATTTTGACATTTTTCCCCAGCTCTGTCTGGGACCCTCTGTTGTGATCCCTGTCAGAGTAGTCAGTGGGGGTAGCCGGGCACCATCTAGTTGTGCTAAACTCAGTCTGGTGGAGGCCATGGTAGCTGTGGTCCATTAGTTCTTTGGACTAATCTTTTCCTTGTATCTTTAGTTTTCTTCTCCCTTGCTCCCGAAGGGGTGAGACCAGTGGAATATCTTAGGTGGCTGCTCACAGGCTTTTAAGACCCCAGACACTACTCACCAAAGTAGAATGTAGAACATTTTCTTTATAAACTATGTTATGCCAACTGAACTAGATGTTCCCCAAGACCATGGTCTCCACAGCCCTCAGCCCAGCAATTCGGTCCCTCAGGGAGTTGGGATGTGTCTATGGAGCTTCCATGACCTTTCCTTGTACAAGTTGTGCTGGCTTCCCCAGTGTTGTGTACTGTCTTACCCTTCACCAAAGTTAACCACTTACCTATTGTTTATTTAGTGTTTTTCCATCCCCACCCCTTCCCTCCCTGGTAGCCATCAAAGATTCTTTTTGTGTGTAAACCTTTTCATGAGATTTTACAGTAGTGGTCTCATACAATATTTGTCCTTTTGTGATTGACTTATTTCACTTAGCATCTTTCATCGTCTTCTTAAGGGAAAATCCTAGAAATGGGATTGTGGGGTCAGAGGACAACCTTGGACTCAGGCCTTTGGGAAGTGCTGGGGTGCTGGAGGCGAAGTAAAAGACTTGGTCTCTGTTCTTCAGTAGTTCAGTCAGCCTGAGGAGATGAGATTCTGGACAGAGAAAAAGAGATGTCAATCTGTAATGCTGATACCATCTAGCATTTCCTCTTTGGGAATTCATTCTATAGATAGACTGGCCCATGTGAACACAGATATGTAAGGGCATTGTTATGGATTGAATTGTGTCGCCCAAAATATGTATTGTAAATCCTAACCCCTGTACCTGTGGAAAGGAGCCCTGGTGGTGCAGTAGTTAAGTACTTGGCTGCTAACCAAAAGGTTGGTGGTTTGAATCTATCAGCTGCTCCACAAGAGAAAGATATGGCATTCTACTTCTTTAAAGATTACAACCTTGGAAACCCTATGGGGCAGTTCTACCCTATCTTATTGAGTCACTATGGGAATCTTCTGGAAGGCAAGGCAGTGGGTTTGGTTTTTTGGTTTTGGTACCTGTGGATAAAATCCCATTTGGGAATAGAGTTTTTCTTTGTTGTGTTAATGAGGCCATATCAGTGTAGGGTGTGTTTTAAGCCAATCACTTTTGAGATATAAACGAAGCAGATTAGGCACAGAAGCAAGGAAGCATAGATGAAGGATTATAGAGGCCATACTACATGAAGGAACCAAGAAACAGAAGCTGAAAAGAGATAAGGACTTTCCTCCAGAGCCAACAGAGAGAGAAAGCCTACCCTAGAGCCAGTGTCCTGAATTTGGGCTTGTAGCCTCTTAAACTGTGAGAAAATAAATTTCTGTTCATTAGAGCCACCCACTGGTGGTATTTCAGTTACAGAAGCACTAGGCGTATAGGCATACTTGCTGCATCCTTGTTTGTGAAAGATAATAACCTAAATGCTCAGCATTAGGGGATTGAGTAAATATATACCATTATGGTATAGCCATAACTTATGGCAGCCCTCTGTGTACTGCTATGGGTCCGTCTCCAAGTGAAATGAAGAAACCAAAGTGTTTAATATACTGTTTATATATATTTTAAAATAGGGGCATTTTAATATACTTGTAAATGTATATAGATCTGCACTGTCCAGTACAGAAGCCACTAGCCGCATGTGGCTATTGAGCACTTGAAATGTGGTAACTCCAAATTAAGATGTGCTGAAAGTATAAAATGCATATTGGATTTCAAAGACTTGGTACAAAAAAAACCCATAAAATATCTCACTAATAATTTTTATATTGGTATCTTGTTGAAATGCTGTTTTGCATATATTAGGTTAAATAAAATATTAAAAGTAACTTCACCTGTTTCTTTTTACCTTTTTTAATGTGCTTACTAGAAATTTTTAAATTACATATGTGGCTCAAATTTGACCTCCCATTATATTTCTATTGGATAGGGCTATTATAGGCTATCTCTAGAAGAATATGCAACCAGTTTATAATAGTAGTTGCCTCTGGGGAGGGGTCCTGAAGGTTTGTGTTGCAGAGAGATGGACTTTTCACAGCTCTTTTGTACCATTTAAATGTTCTCTTTTGTTTGAATTTGGTACCATCTACCAATTTAAAAAAACATTTAACGTGTCACAAAGCCATGACATAAAAGGCACTAGAAAAATTAGTCCCACAAAGGAGATACTGTGTAGGAGCAGACTGGGAGAAACATAAAAGATTTGCAAACACTTGATAATTTTTCTTCGTCTTCTGCCAAGGCCCCAGGGTCACACCAGAACCAGTTGGCCTCGAGTTGGTTCCAACTTACGGAGACTCCACGTGTGTCACAGTAGGACTGTGCTTCATGGGGTTTTTGATGGCTGATTTTTTAGAAGTGGATCACCAGGCCTCTCTTCCAAGGTCCCTCGGGGTGGACTTGAACCTCCAACCTTTCAGTTAGCAGCCCAGCACATTAACTGTTTGCACCAACCAGGGCCTCCAGGGTCACACTGGACCACCTTAAAAGACCCTAGAGTTGATGTGTAGGACCTTATGCCAAACCAAAAACCCATTTCTGTCAAGTCAGTTCCAACTCAGTGACCCTACAGGACAGAGTGGAAATGCCCCATAGGGTTTCCAAGGCTGTAAATCTTTATGGAAGCAGACTGCCACGTCTTTCTCCAGCCAAGTGGCTGGTGGGTTTGAACCACCCACCTTTCCCTTAGCAGCTGAGTGCTTAACCACTGAGCCCGCAGGGATCTCAACCTTATGCCCGGATGTTTGTTTACTGGGAAGATAGAGCTGTCTGCCACCCAGAAGTTTCAGCATAATCAGTGCCTGGGCTAGATAGGAGGAGTGGTTGTCTTACTAAAATGGCTATAAGTATTTATTTCAACTTATTTTTATTGACTAGTTTTTCGTTTTAATTGAGCACATGATCTATGATCTAATTGACAAAAAGAGATTAGGAGAGAGAGTTGGTGTGTGGGATGCCCTGAAATGACTCCTCTGTGGTCCTGGCCCAGGGTCACTGGCCCAGCAGTGACCTTCTGACTGTGGGATTTCAAGGAATTGGAAAGTATAACATTCGCTACCCCCACCGCCCCAACACACACAACTGCTGTGTTGATATTGAAAATGTAACCCTCAGGGAAGTTTTATTTTTGGTGTTTGGGGTGGGCAGCCTCACAGGGGCCACCGGGCATTGAGGGTAGTCCCAGCCTCGGATGTGGGGAGTAGCTGGAGGTCTGGACCTGGACCCCTGACCCAGGACAGATGACCCCAAACCTCAGCCCTGCCCAGCGTGCAGCACAGCGCCTGGTACAGCACAGAAGCTGAGCAAAATGTTGAGAGAAGGAAAGGTCCCCTGTGCCCATCCTGGCCTTTCCTCACAGGGGGGACTGGGGTCTTCCCCCTGCCTCCCCAAGTCCGCCAGCCCACCCACTGCCGGTCCTTCACTTCCACCATCCCACTTCCCCCGCTCAGTGAGTCCACAGCGCCCCGGGCCTGGATGGCCGAGGCCACACGGAAAAGGGTGCAGGGCTGCAGCTCTTGCCTACCTGAGCTGTGCCCCCGCCGCCAAAACCCTCGGCAGTCCAACCATTTGCGCCTCCTGTCAGGCTGCGGGAGAAAATTGGCCCCTTGGGGTCACGTCTAACCTGGGCGTCCCTGGAAGCGCCCATCAGTTCTGTGTTCACCCCCCAACACCGCCTCCACGTCCTGCGCAGGGGTTCCACGTGAGAATTACACTTGGGGACCGGTCGGCGCTGCCAGTCGTGAGGGCAGGGAAGTTGCGGCACCTGGATGCGAATGTCAGTCGGCTCCACCACTTGCGCAACCGAGTGACCTTGGACAGGTTAATTAATCTCTCCACACCTCAACGTTCGCGTCTGTAAAATGGGATAGCGAACACAGACCGCTGAGCGCAGCCGTGTTGGGCAAACTCTTTGAGCCGATTGGGCCTCTTCAAGGTGCCTACTGGTTAAATCGCCGAGGGCCCTTCGGAGACCACCCCTAGGGGTCTTTTGCTTCCTCCGGGGTCCTCTCCGCTGGAGATGTGTAGCTCCGGACCACGTCCCGAGAGAGGCGGAATTCGAGAGGCCAGGATCTTAGCGCCCAGGCTGGAGTAGGGGGCAGAGGGTTTAGGACAAAACCCAATTCTACCCGCCCCACCCAGAGCCTGGGAGTCGGTGGGGCGGGCCGGGCCGGCCCCGCCCTCCGCCAACCCGGGCCCGGATTGGCGGCGTCCGGCGGCGCGGCCGCTGTTATTTTTCGAATATATAAGGAGGTGGAAGTGGCAGCTGCAGCCAGAGGCTTCCCGGACTGGTGGCTGGTTCCTGCGTCCCTGCACCCCTCCCCACCCTCCCCGACTCCCTCGCTCCCGGCCCCGTTGCTCTCCCTCCCTCCCTCCCTCCCCTTCCCTCTGGGCCGGTGCCCTCCCTCGTCTCGGCCAGCTGTGCCCGGCGTCTGCTGGCGTCCCAGCCCCCGGCCTTCCAACCAGCCTCCTGCGACCCCGCCACGATGGAGACGCCCCAGCTGGAGCCCGAGCCAAGCTCGGGTCTCAGCCCCACCGGCGTGCGTGGTGGCGCCGAGCGTCCAGGTCACCTCTCGGGCCTCCGGCTGGGAGCTCGCGGCTTCCTGGGGTCCCCGGAGCGTGCGGCCGCTTCCTCGCCGGTCACCAACCTCACCCAGACCATGCACGACCTCGCCGGGCTTGGCAGGTAGGGCGCCTCACGAGGCTGGAGGTGGGGTGAGAGGCTTGGGTTGAGGTGTGGTCCCAGGCCTCCTGGGGAGCCCGGCCTGGAAGCTGAATCCAAAAGATGGTGTGGGGAGGCCGGAGCGCTGCAGCTCACATACTCCAGGTGACCTGTTCTCGGTCCCTCCTTCTCCTTCTCCTGCATTGTGCCCCCACCACGCTGTCTCCCTAATCTCTGCCCCTGCGGGGAATCCCAAACCTGGCGAGGGAATTTGGGGTGGCAGAGCAGTCCGGTCTTCCCATCTCCTTGGTCTTGTTTCCCACCCCGACCCCATCCCAGTTCTGCCCGGGGCTCCGGGGTAAGGCGATTAAAGGCCACTCCTGCTTCGTGAGCAGACCTGCATGGTTCAGGCTGGGTTGCTCTAGCGGCAGTAGAGACGCAGGTCTCAGAAAGGCATGTGGATGGGTGGGGACCTGGAGAGTTTAGGGAAAGCCTAGGGCCTCTGCTCCTTTGCTGCCTATCCATTCCCCAGGCTGACCCCGCCCGCTCGGCCTTCTTGCTCTGGCCCTGGGATCTCCTCCCGCTACACCCAGGAGGACCCTTCCTAAACCAACCACACAAACCGGAGACATAGGGCCACTGTAGGATAAGCCTGCCTTGGTCTGGGAAGAAAGTAGGCTGCCCTTGATATACCCACGTTCTTGGTGTGGTGTCCTACCTCTGTCGTTCCCTCAGGGAAGGAGCTGCCTCCCTGGGACAGTGCAGAGGCTGATTGGCCTTTCAGAGGTGGGTGGTGGGCTGGAACACGGGTAGCCAGCCCCTGAGCCCCACATTTACCTTTTTCCTTCTCTGGCCCCTGCTGCTTTCCCAGCGAGACCCCAAAGAGTCAGGTAGGGAGCGTGCTCTTCCACAGCCACAGCCGGCTGATGCGCCTATCCCTGTCCCGACGGGCGTCCGAGTCCTCCCTGTCGTCTGAGTCTTCTGAAGCTTCTGATGCAGGTAAGGCCCAGGGAGGTCCCCAAGGGCCCCAAGAGTTTGAGGGGGCTGCCTGAATCTCCCAACCTCCCTGCCTGTCAGAATAATATCTTTCCCATCACCTGGTGGGCTCCGGAGCCTCCCCTCCTGCCCACTCGTCTGAAAGGAAGACAGACCTCTGGTGGTGCTCCCCATACCCAGCCCAGACAGGGTGGGGCTCTAAGGAGAGATGTCAAACCAGACGCTAAGGGCCCTGAACCACAGCCCCACCTGGGAGGCATTCAGGGCTGAAAGCTGATCTTTGTATAACCTTCTCTTACCTGAAGCTATAGCTTTTTCCTTGAAAGGAATAATTTGCTTCTAGAGCAAATGATTTTAAGTCTGTTCGAGAAAAATGCTTAGCAAGGGTTGCGGTTTAGCAGCACGCAGAGAGATTTTCATAATAAACAGGCCCGGGGACCCTGTGCAGTTTGGAGGACAATGTGTCAGCCCTTTGGGTCCATGGATGGTTTTTGGTTTTTTTTTTTTAATGTGTCAAGATCTTAAATAGAAACAGGTTGGTTGTTTTTTCTTCTTTGAATACGGTTGGTACGTGGTAGGGAAAGAGCGCAGGAAATGTCACTACTTTCAAACCAAACTGTTCTGTCCCTCCAGGTCTCTGCATGGACTCCCCCAGCCCCATGGACTCCCAGATGGCAGAACAGACGTGAGTAGAGAATGGATACCCCACACCAAGGAGTCGGCTCTTGCCTTGGGAATCCCAGTTCTAGCATAAACTCACTGGGGAGAAGTGACCAACTCCACAGGACCCACATATGGGGGAACTCAGGGACCATCTCAGGTTCCAGGATTCTGCCCCCATCTGAGAGAAGGGTCTGCGCTCATGGGAGCCAGCTGGGAGTGGGCTCAGGGCCAAGGGTGGTGGGGACAGTGACTCCAGCCACCCTTGTCATGTGGGAGCATGGGCCCAGTGCATGTTCCATCTTGTTTGATGCCTATACAGATTATTTCTGTGAAATATCACAACTTTAAAATGTGACCCAACTAATTTCATTTTGTTAACTTGCTCTAGGGCAAACAAAACACACTTGCCTACAGGCTAGTTTGGCCATCAGCAATATCTGGCTTCAGTGACTCTTGGCCCTCTGGCCAACCCTTGGACCAGGGCCTTTGTGAGAGGGAGTAGGGCTCTTCCCTGGACAGACCTCTCCCCTTTGGTAGTGGGGCATGGGTAGTGCCTTCCAAAGTACAGCTGTTCTGTCCAGCTGTTAGGGCTCAAGCAGCAGGAGCAGCTGCCAGCCATCAGTGGGGACAGCTGGGCATCCCCAGCGTGGGCTGGGAACTATAGCTTTGAGTTCAGGGCAATGGCTGTCTTTCCTTCATTGCCTTTTATCAGACTGGGCTGGGCTGCAGGGTTGGTTCACAAACAGGAAACAGAGTTGGGCGGGGCTGCGGGTGAGGGTGGAGGCTGCAGGTTAGGTTTTGGTGGAAGCACAGTCAAAGCTGGACCTGCTTTACCCCTGAGACCCAGGTGCTGATTGGAAACCAAACAAATAAAATTGAAGATCTCTGATGCCAGGGCTGCTGGGCACAGCCTCCACCTAGGGGCCATCCCTCTGACACTTTAGCCCTGAGTGTCTCCCTCCCTCCCCCACCTCTGCACCTGTTTTGACGGTTACACAAAGTTCCTCAGAAGGAGGCTGGTGTGTGTGTGTGTTTGTGTGTGTGTGTGCATAGATGCACAAAAGCCCCGCGTGGCAGGTGGTCTCCACTAACATAGCCGGGAGGCGGGGCCTATGTACAGAAAGCTTGTACCCTAGCCTCAAAAGGAACATCTGTCGGAATTCCTTGGCCTCTTCTAAGGCAGGAGGAGGGGTGGGACTAAGGCTGGGTCCTGGAAAATTCCATAGGAGGGAGGAGAGGATGTGACCCAGTGCATTTGTCACTAGGGGGTCTGGCGTGGCAGATTGGGGCTGATCCAGGGGAACATTAAACCAGGCCTTGTCCTGGAGTGGGGGGCAGGCCAAAGGGATGGAAGCCCAGCCTTGTTGGCATCCAGGCCCTGGAGACTCCCGCATTGTCGTGTGCTGGGCCTGTCATCCGAGGGATGGATGGATGCTTTTCCTGGCGGCCATATGGCCCCACTGAGGCGATTTGCATACAGGTGGAAAGCCTGCGGGCAAGCTGGCGAGACTGTTGCCTTGGTGACGCCTCAGTGACCCTGCGACTGGCCCCAGCTGTCTCCACCACGGCTGTTCTCTGGACCCTCTTCCATTTAGGGTGGCTTTAAAGTCCTAGGCTGCCTCTCATCTCCCCTCCCCAATACCTAGGACTGCTGGGAGTCGGCATTCTTCCTACCCCCCATTTCCATTGGCCCTTACTCTCATTCCTGTCCCCAGGCATTGTGGTCTGGGACCTGATGCTGGGGGTGGGAGGTGGGCTAAAGGAAGATGGGCTGCATGGGACCCCCCTCTCTCCCCTAGGTTTGAACAGGCCATCCAGGCAGCCAGCCGAGTCATTCGAAGGTAAGTGGTCCCAGGGTGGCATGGAGAGGGTCCAGGTCAGGCGCTCCCAAGGGAGTGTATAGAGCCCTCTGGGGGAGCGGCATGCTGGGTGCTCTGAGTCCCTGCGCCCTACTCTCCTAGCCCTGACCTGTCCCCATTTCGGTCTGCAGTGAGCAGTTATCCATCAGACGCATTCAGTCCATGCCGGTGAGTGCTGTCTGAGGCCAGGCATGGGGAGGGGCGGGAGGGAAGGCTGAACGGGAGGATTTGGGGCCTGAGGGGACTGGCCTGTGCCTGTGGGTATGAGCAGCACATCTTTGCTGATTTGGACCCAAGATGACGATGAGGGTCCCCCCAGGTCACTTCCCAGAGGGTGGACTTGAAGTGGCCAGGCATCCCTGGCCTGGCTGTGGGAGATGGGGTCCAGAGGCAGATGGACATGCTGAGGAGGGGTGGGAGAAGGCAGGCCCTGGCCTGGCACCAGAGAACGCAGCCTCAGTACCTGCCTACCCTGCTGTCTAGGTGAGACTTCTGGGCCACAGCCCTGTGCTCCGGAACATCACCAACACCCAAGCACCAGACAGCTGGAGGAGGAGCAAGATGGGCAGCAGAGCTGCCAGTAGCTCGGGGGAAGACAAGGAGAATGTACGTTTCTGGAAGGCCAGAAGGGAGAACTTCAGGGAGAGAAGGAGAAGCACTGAGGTGACTCAATGGCATTTGATGACTGTCCCCCACCTCATCTTGCCCACAGAATGGATCTGTCTTCAAGATGCCACGGAAGCCAGCATTTCCCAGCCATGCCCAGGCTATGGCTGAGTGGGCCAGCCGCCGAGAAGCCTTTGCCCAGAGGCCAAACTCAGCCCCTGACCTGATGGTACGCCAGAAGGGCTGACCCCTTGCAGCCCAGGGGAGGGAAGGGTGATCCTGAGACCGAGGGGGTTGAAGTGGGGGCAGTCGGGAACCTTTCCTGGGAAGGCTGGGGCTGGGCACTGCAGCCCTGAGCGGGCTGGGTCTGTTTCATCGCTGGGCAGTGCCTCAGCCCTGAAGAGAAGATGGAAGTAGGAGACCTGAGCCCCCTGCCCCGACACCGCTCCTCCCTGACCCCCATGGAGGGGGCTGCTGAGGAAGACGATGGATTTGTGGACATCCTAGAGAGTGACCTAAAGGTAAACAGGCCCCCTCCAGCTCCCTGGGATCTCCCAAAAGAGGACAGTGGTCCTCCCACAGTAAGACTATGTATGACCTCATCCCAATGTCAGAAGAAGAATTTGAGGTACCTGAGTTGTGGCCTGGCCTCTGGCCAATCAGAGAAGAGTACGTGACTGGTGCTGGAGTGTGGGGAGGATGGGCAGGGTGGAAGGAAAACCTGGCGCCCGACCCATGCTCTGTGCAAGCCCCAGCAGTGAGTGGTTCCCCACAGCTTCACAGTTGTGGGGGGTTGCCCTGTGTGGAGGTGCTAGCAGGGGCAGGAAGGCCTGCCAGGGCCGGGTTTGTTGGGGGACAGAGAGGATTTGGGGGCCTGAGGGGTCTGGCCTGTGCCTGTGGATCTGACCACCACATCTTTGCTGATTTGGCCCCAGGACGACGATGAAGTACCCCCAGGCATGGAGAGCCTCATTAGCGCCCCACTGGTCAAGACCTCGGAAAAGGAAGGGGAGCAGGTAGGCCTCTGGGGTGGCCCCCTGAGATTTTAGAGGGGTGGAATTGGGGGGCACTGGGCACTCTGACCCCTGCCTTGCTACCCCAGGACCTCATCATGTACAGCAAGTGCCAGCGGCTCTTCCGCTCTCCGTCCATGCCCTGCAGTGCCATCCGGCCTGTCCTCAAGAGGCTGGAGCGGCCCCAGGACAAGGACATGCCCATACAGAGCAAGCGGAGGAGGAGTGTGACCCCGCCGGAGGATCAGGAGGAGCAGCAGGAGCCTGAGGAACCTGTGAGTGCCTTCCTACCGATGGCTGTGGGTGGCCTGTGCTGGGCCAGGGCTCTCGCTATCCACCTCCAGGATGCATCTGGGCTGCCATCTTCCAGCTCCACCCTGCTGAGCCCTCCTTGGGCCGGCTTGCCACAGAGGGTGGGGCACAGGTAGCCGTGGCAGGGACGGGGGCACCAGCTTCACCTGACTCCTGGTCCCATCTGCCTTGCCTCCCAGAAAGCCCGTGTCCTCCGATCAAAGTCTCTGTGTCATGATGAGATCAAGAACATCTTGGACAGTGACCACCGTGAGCTGATCGGGGACTACTCCAAGGTACCAGTTGGCAGGGCTGCTCAGGAGGTTCGACCCTTCCCAACTGCGGACCCCCGCTCAGGGAACATATGGGCTCCTCCCTCTCTCCCCAGAGGTCACTTTTCTTTGTCCTTTGCATCTTTTCATCTTTTGCTCTTGCGTAACCTCCTCCCTCTAGGCCTGCTTAGTCTCCTGAGTCGACTTCAGATCTGACCGGCCCGGACAGGGTCTCAACCTTGGAAGACTTTTCCAAACGAATGTCTAGTTTGGAACCTAGGAGGAGTGCCTCACCCTGGGACTTGGCGCCTCTTTTACTCCCCTTCATTCCCCCTTGGAGGGTTGTTCCCTGGGTATCAAACATCTCTCAGTTGCTATGGGAACCAGAGCTGAATTTGAAGGCCAAAGTAGGTGTGGCCTCTGGCCTTCAGGAATGAAACTCCCTCCTTTCTGGGCTGCTAATCTTACCAATTTCACTTTCTCTTTCCTCTCTCTCATTCTCATCCCTTCCCTTCAGGCCTTTCTCCTACAGACTGTGGATGGGAAACACCAAGACCTCAAGTACATCTCACCAGAAACGGTAAGTGGGGTCTGCCAGCCAGCGCCTGACACAGGCAGGGGTGCATTGGGGACTGCTGTTGAGCTGTTAACTCTCCCTGAGGGCTGCGCGTGCTAGGTCAGTGACAGGGTAGGGACCAGCCCCTGGCTGCCAGCCTGACCTGCTGAGACCTACCCTGGTGGCCTCTTACAGATGGTGGCCCTGTTGACGGGCAAGTTTAGCAACATCGTGGAGAGGTTTGTGATTGTGGACTGCAGATACCCCTACGAGTATGAAGGTGGCCACATCAAGGTGAGGAGGGGTGATGGGGAGAGGCCCTGCAGACCCACCACGGTCCAGTTGTTCCTCTGTAGAGAGGGTGAATGGTTGGAGGGTGGGTGTACTTTCTCACGGGGGAGGGATCCTGCCCAAGGTTCCATGGTGATATGGTCACCCAGGAATCAAAGGGAAGGGGTCTGCTTCCTGGGCCCCGATTGTGGCCTGATGGTTAGCTGGTCTGCAGACGGCTGTGAACCTCCCCCTGGAACGGGATGCTGAGAACTTCCTGCTGCAGAGCCCCATCACAGCCTGTAGCCTGGACAAGAGAATCATCCTCATCTTCCACTGTGAATTCTCATCTGAGCGTGGGCCCCGCATGTGAGTCCCAGCTCTGCCCCGCCAGCTCCTGTCCACCCCCCCACCTTCCCTGCCTAGCCTTCTGGGTGCTGGAGCCCTTGGGATGGCCAAGAGCCCAGCCTCTCCACAGCCTGGGCCTTGTGCCTCATCTGTTGGCTTGAGATGACCTCGCTCCCCATTCCCTGTACCCTCCTGATACACTGTGCCCGGCACCCTCCTCCTGTTTCCCTCTCACCATCCTTCCCCTACAGGCCTACATTCTACTCTGTCCGTTGCTGCCACCTCCACATAATCGGGTTCCAAATCTCCAGCAACATCCTCCTCAAAATCCAAGGGTCCTGTCCCAGTCCTCAGTGACAATCACCCTCTCCAGAGTTCAATGCTGTTCACTGTTCCATTGAGACTGTTCTCTCTTTTCTCTGTCTCAGTTCATTCTTAAATGCCCTGACCTTGGCCTGCTCTCCTATCCTACTCCTGGGGTGTCCCACCTGGGCCATCCATTTGCTAGTTGCTCTCTGGCCCAGGTCTCTCACAGGAGCTGGCAGTCTGCACCTAGATGCTCCTTACAGACTTCTAGTGCCAGGGTCCTTATTGCTGCTGCCCTCCTTGTCCTCCTGGATCCCCAACCTCTGCACATGGGACCACCTCCATCCAGACACTGGGACCAGTCACTGGGCACTGATCTTGGGTTCTCCCTATAGCTTGTTATCACCAAGTCTTGTCCAGGAGGCCTCCTGAATGTATCACTTAGATTTTGTCCACATCTCTCCATTCCTGCTGCCTCCTCTCCAGTCCAGGCCACACCTACCTCTAACCAAGATGGTGTACCACCTTCTAGGAACAGAGAGCCCTCTTGATTTCACCTCCCCACCCTGTTCTGTATCCGGGAGCCAGACTGGTCTTATAAAAATTTTCTTTGGGCCGACATTCCTGTGCTCAGGAGCCTTCTGGGGGTCCCCAGGGCCATCAAAGGAGGGGGCACAGGGAACAGTCCCCTGATGTGCCCCCCACTGTGTGCCCAGCTCTGACCCTCCCTCTATTCTGGTCCAGGTGCCGATTTATCCGGGAACGAGACCGTGCTGCTAATGACTATCCCAGTCTCTACTATCCCGAGATGTATATCCTCAAAGGCGGCTACAAGGAGTTCTTCCCACAGCACCCGGTACCATGGCTGGGGGAGGGCTCAACCGCAGGGAGAGGGCTCAGGCAAGCTGCTGCCCTGAGAGAGGAAGAAGGAGGGGCTGGGTCGCCCTAGACTCTCCTATTCCTGGTGTAGGCTGACCCCTCCCATCCTGCCCTAGACCTTCTGTGAGCCCCAGGACTACCGGCCCATGAACCATGAGGCCTTCAAGGATGAGCTGAAGACCTTCCGCCTCAAGACCCGCAGCTGGGCTGGGGAGCGGAGCCGGCGGGAGCTCTGTAGCCGGCTGCAGGACCAGTGAGGAGCTGCACAGGGCCCACCTGCCCACCTCACCTCTGGTGGCCTGCGAGCCTGCTGCTCAGTGGGCCGGGGGTGCTAAGGGCCTGCTGGAGGCCCCAGGTGCTATCCAGGGAAAGGACTGTGAGGGTGTCATGTCTGTCTGCCCCCAGCCCTGTCCCCTTGTCTGAGTCCAATCATTTTCCATGTCCTGGTGCTCCCCACCCCCACCCGAGCCCCTGTAGAAGAGCCCAGCTTGCTGGGTTAAGATGGGCTAAGACCAGCTCAAAGGAAGTATTTTGTGTCCAACAGGAGCCTTTTTGCTTGTTTTCTTCCTACTTTGAATTAACTCTTTGTCTTCCTGTGTCCAGAAAAGCCCCCCTCTTTCTAGGGGCTTTGTTTGTATGTTGGCTGAGGCTAGGGGAAAGCCACGGCCCCTCAACGGGCCAGAGCTGAACTCTCCACCCTCGTCTGGGGGTCCGTACTCCAGCCCCTGCACTTACGGGCCTCCCCTCCTCAGGAATCATGGGCTGTTTCTGCTGTTACCCTCTTTCTCTTTTCTTCCTTCCTGTCCCTCGACGCACACACCTACAGCATAAACTTAAGTTCTTACTGTCTCCTGTTTCAGTGTTAACCTACGTTTGATTTGTTTTTCTGGTTTTTTTTTTTTTTTTTTTGGTCTCTCTCAGGCTGAGGTTTAGGCTCCCACTAGCCGGCTGGGGTTAGAGACACAAACGTTAATGACCCACTTAGTTCCCCCTTCTCTTGCCTCTGAAAGGGATGTTAATATCCTAGGGAGACCTCCCAGAGTGAGGGCTAAGGCCTGAATCCTGAGCCAGCTGAAAGCCCAGCCCCCACTGCTGTGAACCCAGGGCCTGGCTGGTCAGAATTTGCTGCTGTTTTCTTGTCATGGATGGATGGATGGCGGATGAATGGAGGGGTGGACGGACAATGTCTTGCACACATGTGCACACAAACAAGCTGGGTGGAAGCACTTAGGTGAGCATGACAGCCTGTGGCAGGAGGATGTGTGTGTCTGTGTGGATAAAAACCTTTACACTTAAGGTTTGGACGTATTCAAGAGGAAATGGCACGGAAGCAGCTAAACCAAGGATGAAGCAACCTCTGGATTCTGAATCTCAAGATGTGGGAAGGGCTGTGCTTAAAGGCCCTGACATGAGTCATCTGTTACGGCCTTGGTTCAATAAAGCACCGACCAAGTTAAGTTGCCAGCACTGTATTCTGTGGGAGCGGGGAATAGCAGCCCCACCCAAGTGCCCAGGTGGGCTCCCTTGACAAGACCACAGCAGACCCTGATGGTGGAGGGCGGGGGGCACTTCCTGGGGAGGCGGTCTCATGGTCTCGTCTGCCCTCCCCTTGAAGTCTTCATCTCTTGGATGACATTCCTTGGTTGAGACTTTGGATTCAGCCTCTCTGCCCTGCCCCGCTTCCTTTCACATGGCTACCCAAGTACCTCTGGGCTCACCCTTCCTATACTCTGCACCAACAAGGCAAGTATAACCCTGTCACTCCTTAAGAGTTGTCAATGGCTCCCCATTGCCCTCAGGATAAACTTAAGACTCCTGGCATGGCATCCAAGGAATTTAAGATCTGGGCCCTCCCCAGCCTCATCCTCCACCTCTTGCTTAAGTAAATCCCCCACACCTTGTTCTTCACATTTCGTTGCGGAATATGTCTCCTGTACCATTCACAAGAGCACACTTTCCCCCATCTCTTACTCCTTTAAGACTCAAGTTCAAATGTCACCTAGCTGAAGCTTCCCTGCCCTGTCAAGGAAATGGCTTTCCTCTTAGTATCCCCAGCACCCATTACAGGGTCTACCATCTAGGAAGTGCTGAGTTCAAGATCAAGTGAGTGGGAAAGGGGCAACCTGAGAACTCTTTAGCAGGCACAAACTCAGGCATCTGAGGAAATCCCCTCCCCACCCCCCACAACGGGAGCTGTCTGTGACTGTAAGGGGAATCATTTGCCTACAACCTGCACACACAGGTATCATGCCTACTTTGCTCGAAGTTCATCTACAGTCTGAAATAGGTGGTGCAATGATTCTTCACCCCATTTTGCACATGGAAAAATGGAGGCTACTTCCTACCAGAGCAACAGAGGGGACTCCAGTTACCCAGGCTGAGTCTAAAGGACGGTGGCCCTGTTTCCAGCTTGTCCTTCAAGTCTCTTATGCCCTAAGGCTAGATCTTCACTCATACCCTAGAGGCCCCTGCAAGGGCACAAAGGTTGGGTGGGGGAGTCATGGTGGGCTCTGATGGTCTGGGGTGTTGGGCCTCTGCTCAGAGAGGGAGGGGCCCTGAAACCTCCAGAAGGCTCTCCCCCTGCCCCCCACTGACACCTCCAAGACCAGCATTTACTTGGGTCAAGGGACTTACCCCAGAAAAGGGAAAAGAGCTGGGCAGATCCTGAGAGGGAGAGGGTGGCCCTGTACACTGTTACTGCTCCACCTTGAGTGCTCAGATGGTCTGTGAAAGCCCCTCCCTGCTGGTTTCAGAGGAGGGAGGCAGCAGGATGCTCAGAAAGGGCACTCACTTGGCTCAGGTCACACAGCAGACAAATATTGCAGGCCGGCACTCCAACCTCCTCAGGCCTCGCCCAGCCCCTCACCTCCCGCCTCGGTCCCAGAGCGGCTAGCAGGACACTGCCTCTTGCTTCTGCTGGGAATGTCCTCTTCTCAGTCACAGTTCTGTCTGGATCTGGCCACCACAGAGGAGGGAACAATGGGTGCTGAGTATCCACGGCCACGTCTGTGGTCACCATAACCCACTGGCAGAGTCATAGCTGCAGCTATGGGGCACTTGGTCAGCTCTGGGCACATTTACATACACTTGTCTCCCAAGCCCTGCAAAAGACCCACTGCCATCGAGTCAATTTCAACTTATAGCAACCCTATAGGGCAGAGCAGAACTGTCCCATAGGGTTTCCAAGGAGAGGCTGGTGGACTGTAAACTGCCGACTTGTTGGTTAGCAGTCGAGCTCTAACCACTGTGCAACCAGGACTCCTCTCCCGAGACCACTGGGTAGGTATGAGGCTCATTTGCAAGGGGAAACCAGGGGCTTGGTGGAGCGAGGACACAAAACTTCTTCCCCAATTAGAAGGCGCTGACAACTGACTTCTTCTTCCTTGAGGGAGGCGTGGGCCTGGGCCCCTGAAAAGTTCGTGAGGTTGGAGTGGAGGTGCCCCAGCCTCCCTTCCCCCAACAAGAGAAGCTCTGCTTTCTGGATGCTCATGAGAGGAAGCAGGTCAGGCAGGGCGGCCGTTTAAAATCCTGGGCTGCCAGCCAGTTTTAAAGGTTGTTTTGCTTGGGCCAGAGCAGGGTTGGAGATCCAGTGGGGAGGAGCCTGAGAGCAAGCCACGTGTCCCCCGCCGGCTCACTTGGTTAAAGGGCTGCATGGGGTTGGGCAAGGCGCCCAGAGCTGGCCATGTCAGGCCTGGCCCAGACAACTATGGCCCAGACAACTAGGACAAGCGGGACCTGTGGAGGGGAGTGTTCACCCACTGGACATAGTCTGAATTGCTCACTGGGTAACTTTGCAATGGCAGTTTTTTAAAATACTGTCTTCTTTTTAAATTGAGGAAGAGCTAACATTCCATAAAGGGCACACACATCATGAGTATTGAGCATGGGCCTGAAGAACCACCACACAGCTCAGATATAGGATATTTCTAGCAGCCCAGGAGGTACCCCCATGCTCCCTCTCCATACCCCCACTCTAAAGGTTACCCCTTTTCCGACCTCTAAGACTATAGTTTTGCTGCTCTTGAACTTCATATAAATGGAACCATACATCTTATACTCTTTCGTGTCTGTCTTTTTTCCCTCAGCATAATGAGTTTGAAATTTATCCATGTGTTTACGTATAGCAGTTGTCTGTTCTTTTTCATTGCTGTGTAGTATTCCATTATGTGGCTATATCACAAAATTGAATCGTTTACTCGACTCTTTTGTTCTTCTATTCCTTTATTTTTTAAATGTTTAAAATTAAAGTATAATTTACATGCAGTCAAAATTGCTCTTTTTAATATGCAGTTCTGTGAGTTTTGACAACTGTAACCACAATCAATATGTAAAACATTCATTCTACTCTTGATGGATTATTTGGGACTATTACTAATTGTGTTAGGAATACACCCAGAAGTGGAATTGCTGTGTCCTGGGGTGTATACGTGCAACTTTCTTTTTTTCCACAAAGTTCTGTGAGGTTGTTAAACCAATTTACCTTCCCATCTGGAAGTGTTTGAGAGTTCCTGCTGCCCCACACTCTAACCAAAACTGCTAAGTACCTTTTCTCTCTCTGAACCAGAAAATGTGCTTCCTGCACTAGCAACCCAAACCTCCACTGTCGTCAAGTTGATTCCAACTCACCGCGACCCCATGGGGTTTCCGAGGCTGTAAATCTCTGTGGAAGTAGACTGCCACATCTTCCTCCTGCAGAGCCGCTGGTGGTTTCGAACTGCCAACCTTTCAGTTAGCAGTTGATCATTTTAACCACTGTGCCTTCAGGGCTCCTTGCACATAGCAAAGGGCTCAGTTAACCACTGAGGACTGCACTGATGTGCCCATGTGGTGGCAGCAGGGGTTCCAGCATCACTGTCCCGCCTGTTCTCTGACTTTCCTATATTGAAAGATGGGGCAATATCAGCTTTAGTTCTTTTCAGGTCAGAGTCTAGAAAAAAAGGAAAGTGACTCTTTAGAGTTAACTGGTTGTATGTCACCGGCTTGCGTCCTTCTGCTGATACCAGCCCACAATCATCTCGATAACTTGTGGTTTCCATAAAGTCTTCAGCCATGGAATTGGACACAAACACCACTCCCACAAGCAATAAAACAACTGGTGGAGAAAGACAAGATGCTTAGACAGGGAGGTCCACGGCCGTGTGGAATCTGGAAACAATCAGGAGCGGGCAGCTGAGTAATGAGAAGTTGTTTTGCAGCCATGAAAATTATGTCTTAAGAGAATATTCTATGATGTGAAATTATCTGCAATTATTGTTCAAAAAGACAGTTGGTTATGGGACAAAAGGTAAGCAGCCATTCCCACCCTACCCACACAGAAGAAGTCTGTGCAGGTGCCAAGGAATTCAGCTCAGGCTGCCCCTGCCGCAACCAGCCCACAATGGCACACACACCTCTGGAGGGGGTGGGGACCACAGCTGCCAGGCTCTGAGTCACCGAGGCCTGAGGCAGCAGCAGGACGGAAGGGGCCTCACATGGCCAGGCTGGAGCCGCCTCGTGAGGCCTCCTGGCTCTAAGCCCCAAAGGAAGTGAAGCGCGGCTGTTTGAAAGGACGAATCACACATGGCCTCCTGGTTCTGGGGACCTGCCAAGACTACTTCTATGGGGCCTGGGGCTCCCTGAAGGGAGTGCTGGAAGAAAGTGGGCCGCCTGGGCTGGGATTGGGAGTAGTAGGGAAGGAGGTTATGAAATCCGGCGCTGGGAAAGTCGCTCCCATGGTTGGGTCGTAGAGGGTAAGCAGGGCTGGGGTTAGGGCAAGGCTTATGACCTCCCAGGGCTTGCGGCGTGGGGAGGAGGGGTAAGGGAGAGAGGCTGGAGCCGCCTCTTGGGTGGTTGTCAGGGAACAGAGGGTGAGGAGGAAACAGAGTGGAAGAAGCAGGCTCCATCAGAATCTCAGCAAGTGTGTGACATCAGGCAAGTTAATCTTTCTGTGCCTCTGTCTCATCTGTAAAATGGGGATAACAGAGGTCCTACTTCAACGGGGTTGTGGTTGGATCAAATGAGTTGGTGTATGTAGAGCGCTAAGAACAGGGTTGTCCACAGCATAACGTGGCACACAAGCATTCACTATGGCTGCTATTACTTAGGGCCAGTGTGAGGGTTAAAAAGAGACTAGAGAGGTAAAAAGGATGAGCCTAAAAATATCTAATTAAACGAAAGGAGGCCAGCCTGAGGGTTTCCTTCCCTTCCTGCACACGGACAAGGCACTGTGTAATGGTCACAGAAGTCCAGCGCAGTGTGTGTGTGTGTTGGGGTGGCGGGGGTTGGCCTGCTGCCCCATCCCAGGAGGCAGGGAGGAAGCTGTGGATGGGAGTTTGGTGGCGAGAGGATGGGGAGCCGTGGGGTGGCCTGTGGTGGGGCCCCAGCACAGGGATATGTCCCCTCAGAGTTGGTCCAGGGATGTGGGCGGGGGTGGGGGGAGACACAAGAATTGCCTGACTTTGCTCTCCTTTATTCTAGTGCAGCCGTAATCCACTCA